TTGGTCGGCCTGCCTTTCCACGCACATGACCTTTAATGGCCCCCCAGTCTTAGTGCGTAGGGTTCAATATTGAGTTGGCCCGCCCTTTCCATGTACATGACCTGTAATGGCCTCCCAGTCTTAGTCCGTAGGGTTCAATATTGAGTTGGCCCCTCCCTTTCCACGCACATGACCTTTAATGGCCCCCAGTCTTAGTCCATAGGGTTCAATATTGAGTTGGCCCCGCCCTTTCCACGCACATGACCTTTAATGGCCCCCAGTCTTAGTCCGTAGGGTTCAATATTGAGTTGGCCCCGCCCTTCCCACACATGACCTTTAATGGCCCCCAGTCTTAGTCCATAGGGTTCAATATTGCGTTGGCCCCGCCCTTTCCTTGCACATGACCTTTAATGGTCCCCCAGTCTTAGTCCGTAGGGTTCAATATTGAGTTGGCCCTGCCCTTTGTAGCTATAACAGCTTCAACTCTTCTGGAAAGGCCGTCCACAACGTTTAGGAGGGTGTCTATGGGAAGGTTGGACCATTCTTCCCGAAGCACATTTGTCAGGTCAGGCCCTGATGTCAGGGGAGGAGGCCTGGCTCGCAGTCTCCGCTCTAATTCATCCCAAAGGGGTTATGTGGGGTTGAGGTCAGGACTCTGTGCAGGCCAGTCAAGTTCCTCCACCCCAAACTGGCTCCTCCATGTCTTTATGGACCTTGCTTTGGCAACCGCCAAACACAGACACGTCCATCAGATTGCCAGACAGAGAAGCGTGATTGGTCACTCCAGAGTACACGTCTCTCCTCCTCTATCATCCACTCCAACTATCCACCCCTCCATATTCCTCTATCATCTATACCGACCACCCACACATCTATATTCCTCTATCATCCACACCAACCATCCACTCATCCATATTCCTCTATCATCCTCACCGACCACGCACCTGTCCATATTTCTCTATCATCCACACCAACCATCCACCCATCTATATTCCTCTATCATCCACACCGACCACCCACCCATCCATATTTCTCTATCATCCACACCAACCATCCACCCATCTATATTCCTCTATCATCCACAATCTTTTTTAAGGGACACAACGTTTCCCCAAACCTCCTCAACCAGACCCATAAATCCTTTGGGGGTATAGATTAATTCCTAGTCAGGATAGTCACATTTTTAATCCCGGGTTGCCATGATATTACCTTGGAGACAAGCCCCTTCAGACCATCCACCCCTCCATATTCCTCTATCATCCACACCGACCATCCACCCGTCCATATTTCTCTATCATCCACCCCTCCATATTCCTCTTATCATCTATACCGACCACCCACCCCTCCATATTCCTCTATCATCCACCCCTCCATATTCCTCTATCATCCACACCGACCACCCACCCCTCCATATTCCTCTATCATCCACACTGACCACCCACCCCTCCATATTCCTCTATCATCCACACCGACCATCCACCCATCCATATTCCTCTATCATCCACACCGACCATCCACCGATCCATATTCCTCTATCATCCACACCGACCACCCACCCATCCATATTTCTCTATCATCCACACCAACCATCCACCCATCTATATTCCTCTATCATCCACAATCTTTTTTTAAGGGACACAACGTTTCCCCAAACCTCCTCAACCAGACCCATAAATCCTTTGGGGGTATAGATTAATTCCTAGTCAGGATAGTCACATTTTTAATCCCGGGTTGCCATGATATTACCTTGGAGACAAGCCCCTTCGAGTCCGGTTGGACCCTATAGACGGTTGGCCCCTACAGACATGCTCCTACAGTTGCCAAAACAGATGGAGTGAATCTGGAGGCACAAATGACAAATCCTATTCATAGGAACCCGCCGGGCTGATCAGGGCATAAATATCCTTAACCTTAAATCCCATGGCTAGGATCCTTTCCACAACCGCCCTCCTGATAGGTGGAAAACCTCCTCCTTCCCACCTGATCTCTACCATGTTCCTGCGTGTAAAGGAAGAAGGTGCGTTAGGTGACCGACCCACAACTGGCTCCCTTCCAGCATCAGTTTGTCCCGACACCACTCCGGGTTCAGATATGGTAGATTATTTACCACCCGCCGCTTCCCCTTCCCCCGGCACAGCAGTCCCGCTCACCATACTCCCAGCCGTAATACAATTACCAGCCATCCCATTCTCAGGTAAAGTCCTTTCCTGAAACAAATCTCCTGCTGCCTTAGTGTCCATGCGGCACTCCTGCTCTGCATTCTGACAGCCAGCAGGAACGTCTGCATTTGGATTCCTGACATCTGGTACAGAGACTGATGTGACTGCCTCAGTGTCCTCTGTACAGCGCTCTGGTATATGTACTGTATATATAATGTATACCTGCTGCAGACAATGATATAGACCTAAAGAATATTGATGTTTTTGATCTTATCGGTAGAAATATCTTTTGTAGATGAAGATTTGAGGTAGGGAAGGCATCTGGGTCGGAGGTCTCTCTTGAGGAAAGGAAGGTGTCTGGGTCGGAGGTCTCTCTCGAGGTAGGCAAGGTGTCTGGGTCGGAGGTCTCTCTCGAGGTAGGCAAGGTGTCTGGGTCGGAGGTTTCTCTCATGGTAGGGAAGGTGTCTGGGTCGGAGGTCTCTCTTGAGGTAGGGAAGGTGTCCGGGTCAGAGGTCTCTTGAGGTAGGGAAGATGTCTGGGTCGGAGGTCTCTCTCGAGATAGGCAAGGTGTCTGGGTCGGAGGTTTCTCTCGTGGTAGAGAAGATGCCTGGGTCGAAGGTCTCTCTAGTAGTAGGGAAGGTGTCTGGGTCAGAGGTCTCTCTCGTGGTAGGGAAGGTGACTGGGTCGGAGCTCTCTCTCCTGGCAGAGAAAGTGTCTGGGTCAGAGGTCTCTCTCGTGGTAGGGAAGATGTCTGGGTTGGAGGTCTCTCTCGTGGTAGGGAAGGTGACTGGGTCGGAGCTCTCTCTCCTGGCAGAGAAAGTGTCTGGGTCAGAGGTCTCTCTCGTGGTAGGGAAGATGTCTGGGTCAGAGGTCTCTCTCGTGGTAGGGAAGATGTCTGGGTCAGAGGTCTCTCTCGAGGTAGGGAAGGTGTCTGGGTCGGAGGGTCTCTCTCGATGTAGGCAAGGTGTCTGGGTCGGAGGTCTCTCTCGAGGTAGGCAAGGTGTCTGGGTCGGAGGTCTCTCTCGAGGTAGGCAAGGTGTCTGGGTCGGAGGTTTCTCTCATGGTAGAGAAAATGTCTGGGTCGGAGGTCTCTCTCGTGGTAGAGAAGATGTCTGGGTCGGAGATCTCTCTCGTGGTAGGGAAGGTGTCTGGGCTGGGTCGGAGGTCTCTCTCGTGGTAGGGAAGGTGTCTGGGTCGAAGGTCTCTCTCATGGTAGGGAAGGTGTCTGGGTCGAAGGTCTCTCTCGAGGTAGGGAAGGTGACTGGGTCGGAGCTCTCTCTCCTGGCAGAGAAGGTGTCTGGGTCAGAGGTCTCTCTCATGGTAGAGAAGGTGTCTGGGTCAGAGGTCTCTCTCGTGGTAGGGAAGGTGTCTGGGTCGGAGGTCTCTCTCGAGGTAGGGAAGGTGTCTGGGTCGGAGGTCTCTCTCGAGGTAGGCAAGGAGTCTGGGTCGGAGGTTTCTCTCTAGGTAGGCAAGGTGTCTGGGTTGGAGGTCTCTCTCGAGGTAGGGAAGGTGTCTGGGTCGGAGGTCTCTCTTGAGGTAGGCAAGGTGTCTGGGTCGGAGGTCTCTCTCGTGGTAGGGAAGGTGTCTGGGTCGGAGGTCTCTCTCCTGGCAGGGAAGGTGTCTGGGTCGGAGGTCTCTCTCCTGGCAGGGAAGGTGTCTGGGTCGGAGGTCTCTCTCCTGGCAGGGAAGGTGTCTGGGTCGGAGGTCTCTCTCCTAGCAGGGAAGGTGTCTGGGTCGGAGGTCTCTCTCCTGGCAGGGAAGGTGTCTGGGTCGGAGGTCTCTCTCCTGGCAGGGAAGGTGTCTGGGTCGGAGGTCTCTCTCCTGGCAGGGAAGGTGTCTGGGTCGGAGGTCTCTCTCCTGGCAGGGAAGGTGTCTGGGTCGGAGGTCTCTCTCCTGGCAGGGAAGGTGTCTGGGTCGGAGGTCTCTCTCACGGCAGGGAAGGTGTCTGGGTCGGAGGTCTCTCTCACGGCAGGGAAGGTGTCTGGGTCGGAGGTCTCTCTCACGGCAGGGAAGGTGTCTGGGTCGGAGGTCTCTCTCTCACGGCAGGGAAGGTGTCTGGGTCGGAGGTCTCTCTCACGGTAGGGAAGGTGTCTGGGTCAAAGGTCTCTCTCACGGTAGAGAAGATGTCTGGGTCGGAGGTCTCTCTCGTGGTAGGGAAGATGTCTGGGTCGGAGGCCTCTCTCGAGGTATGGAAGGTGTCTGGGTCGGAGGCCTCTCTCGAGTTAGGGAAGGTGTCGGTCGGAGGTCTCTCTCGAGGTAGGCAAGGTGTCTGGGTCGGAGGTTTCTCTCTCGTGGTAGGGAAGGTGTCTGGGTCGGAGGTCTCTCTTGTGATAGGGAAGGTGTCTGGGTCGGAGATCTCTCTCGTGATAGGGAAGGTGTCTGGGTCGGAGGTCTCTCTCACGGTAGGGAAGGTGTCTTGGTCAGAGGTCTCTCTCGTGGTAGGGAAGGTATCTGGGTCAGAGGTCTCTCTCGTGGTAGGGAAGGTGTCTGGGTCGAAGGTTTCTCTTTCAGGGTTTGTACAGAAGTAGGAGGAAATAGTCATTGGTGATATATGATTGGGAGGGGGAGGGGGCCACTCTACAGATAAACATTGCTGAAACAGAAAAAGGCTTGGCTGTTATCCTGGAATTTCCGTAACAGGAAATCTAAGTTTGGTTTCAGTTCCTTTAAAATAAACATGCCGACATTATGCCTCCCTATATACCGTGGAGAAGTTGATGTAATGAACACCCATTACCTCCCCAGCTGTTATGTAGAAGGGAAGAGGTTGAGAAGTCGGGTGAGTATTTGGTATTGTTGGGGTTATTCTATGATTGGGTGTTAGGAGCTCCTTCCATAGATCTGCACGGTTTCCTCCATAGGTTAGAGGAACTGAGATGGAACCCCAGATACCTTCCCTACCACGAGAGAGACCTCCGACCCAGACAACTTCCTTACCTCGAGAGAGACCAACGACCCTGACACCTTCCCTACCTCAAGAGAGACCTCTGACCCAGACACCTTCCCTACCTTGAGAGAGACCTCCGACCCAGACACCTTCCCTACCGCGAGAGAGATCTCCGACCCAGACACCTTCCCTATTGCGAGAGAGACCTCTGACCCAGACACCTTCCCTACCGCGAGAGAGACCTCTGACCCAGACACCTTCCCTACCGCGAGAGAGACCTCTGACCCAGACACCTTCCCTACCGTGAGAGAGACCTCTGACCCAGACACCTTCCCTACCGCGAGAGAGACCTCTGACCCAGACACCTTCCCTACCGCGAGAGAGACCTCTGACCCAGACACCTTCCCTACCATGAGAGAGACCTCCGACCCAGACACCTTCCCTACCACGAGAGAGACCTCCCACCCAGACACCTTCCCTACCAGGAGCGCGACTTCTGACACAGACACCTTCCCTACCTCAAGAGAGACCTCCGACCCAGACACTTACCCTACCATGAGAGAGACCTCCGACCCAGACACCTTCCCTACCGTGAGAGAGACCTCCGACCAAGACACCTTCCCTACCTCAAGAGAGACCTCCGACCAAGACACCTTCCATTCCACTGTGCGCCCAGAGAGAGGGGCGGAGCTCTGTGTTCTTATGTCATAAACATTTGTTAAGGCCACCCCCATACCCACCCATCCAGGTATAGACACACCCTTTCAAATATATTCAGGTTTTACCACTTTCAGTCAGCGGATGGCGCTGTTGGACTGTGACGAAATATTAGGTACTGGTCATCTGGAGGTCAATAGTTGGTATGGATGACTGGTAGTTCCAGCTCCTTTCCTACCTCAATTGAACCCCTTGAAGTGACTTCTTCCAGGCCTGCCCAGAGACTCCCCGCAAAGATTCCAGCTCATTTCCAACCTCAATTGAACCCTTTGAAGTGACTTCCTCCAGGCCTGCCCAGAGACTCCCCCCAAAGAGACATCGATCACACCGTACCATAGAACACCTTTATGACTCTATTGTCACTATTAATGATGGCTCTCGTTCATGATGTCCATGAAGGGACCAGAAATCACAGTAGGCCCATATTTCCATTTCATAGATGAAATCCCTTACATTGGTATACAAGATGAAGAAATAGAGGAGATCTGAGAAGTTTGTGAAGAAAATGGTCTCTTCCCCATGTATGGGGCACTTGTATTGTATTGGATGAAGTATCTGCTGGTATATGGTCACCATGGGTGTTTTCAGATCCATCTCTCCTCCATCACAGTCATGGCAGAGGGGGTCCCGGACAGGCCGTTGGTTGGACGTTTGTTGCAGAATGTATTTCTATACATATAAAGTAGGATAGAAGGGTGACAGATACCGATATCATTCAGGCAGCATTCAGTCCAGTGAAGCCAGTAGACATCCTCAGAAGTAAGGCTTGATTTCTAGTAGGATAACAGAAGGGCCAGGTTTTGGGAACGGACATTAAAGTTTGATTCATTTTTATACTTTAGATAGAATGGAGAAGAATTCACATTCCGGGTTTTAGTTTCTGTCGGAAAGGGGGTTGTCACTTCCTGTCCCTTCATTGTAATTGCGAAGGTTGGGGAGCTGTAACGGAACCGAAACCCAGACCACACTTGGGTATATTCCGTTATACCGCAGCTTCCCTGTCCGAACACCATCCACGGACCACACCCTTGAAATCCCTCAGGAAATAGACAGCACCCGACTCTTCTTAAAACAGGAAGTCAACTACTTTATTTTACATACACAACAAGTTATATACACAGGGCGGGGAAACACAACCAGGAACAGGAAACACATCATCAGCCCGCCCCATCAGTGGGAGGGCTGCCAGAAACACATCATCAGCCCACCCCATCAGTGGGAAGGGTTACAGGAAACACATCATCACCCCTCCCCATCCAACCAAGACACAGAACAATGGGGCAGCACATGGCAAGGACAATAGACAGCCATGTGGCCGAGACAAAGGAATAACCACATGGCAGTACAATACAGGAACACATGCATCCCATAATAGTTTGCTGGCCAGCAAGACACAGAACAATTGGGGGTAGCACATGGCATACAAACAATGGACAGCCATGTGGCCGAGAACAATAGACAACCACTTGGCAGAGAACAATCCCCCCACCAATACACAATACTCAGACATTCACATGTACACCCTGTACCCCTTAACAGGCACAGTGTGAATTAAACATAATGAGAATTTGGGAAGATGATACAGAGGTCCCCCCACCCCCAAAAGTCACTCCAAAAGTCACTCCGGTCACAGGAGCAGTTGTCACCAGGACTAGTGGTGAATAGAGATGACCTCCTGGTTCAGATGGAACTTTGCCTGTTTAGGTGTTCATCCGATTCAGCCATGAATGCTCCCACCACCATGTTCCTCAGCTTCCGTCTTCTGCTGTCAAAGCTGGTAAGGAAGTGGCACCCGCTGCGTCCTTAGTAACCAGTGACACCCCCGGCTGGGAATCCCCGGCCATGTACTCAATGCGGCTGGGATAGTTATGAATTTTAACACTTTCACTGCCACAGCTGTTTGTCCATTCTTTGAACACAGGCTTCAAAAAATGATTTTAGGCCCGAAGATGACTCAAAACCCCCAAGCATGATATGATTTCTGACAGCAGACACCCTAGGCCAGGGGTAGGCAACCTGTGGCTCTCTAGCTGTTGTGGAACTACATTTCCCATGAGGCATTGCAACATTACAAAACTGACAGTTACAGCTATAACTTGCAGAGGCATGATGGAACTTGTAGTGCTGCAACAGCTGGAGAGCCGCAGGTTACCCACCCCTACCCTAGGGAATAAAATGGTGGTAGTTCCAATTTTTGTAGGTCAAACGATATTGATACAATAGTAGAAAATGGAAATCGTTTTCCTACTAACCAAAAAATGTCCAGAACTTCAGGATTTTCCTCCTGTAGACTTCAGGAGGATTCTCCACTAAGGTAATGCTTGCTGAATTTTGAAGTGGATTCGCCAAACCCTTTACATGGAACCCGGGCAGATTCACTAATCCCGATAATAAATACATACTACCATAGATGCGGTTTTGATCTGATATATATGAACCTGAAGCCATGTGAACATGTGATTTATATTCTCCTACGGAAAGGTGAGGAGCACTTTGTGGATCAGTACCAGGCAGAGCTCATCCAGAGGATCACTATGGTACATCCAGTGTTGGACAATCTACTACAAGAAGGTCTTCTGACTCAGGAACATTATGACACGGTGAAGGTGAAGGAGACACCCCAAGAGAAGATGAGGGGTCTATATCAATTCAGCAGAGGATGGAGCATCCCTGACAAGGACATCTTCTACCAAGCTCTCCTAGGCAGCAATCCCGGGGTGATGGAACACCTGGAAGGAGCATCACTATCAGGTAATGTTACTCAATGAGACTTCATCATATCAAAGATGGTTGTAGAATCTAACACAGGGACAGGCAACCTAATTGGGGTGATCTGAGAGAGGAAGGTGTAGGAATTGAGGTGATCTGAGGGGTAAAGGTGCAGGAATTAGGGTGATCTAGGGGGGTGAAGGTGCAGGAGATGATCTGAGGGGTGAAGGTACAGGGATTGGGGTGATCTGAGGTGTGAAGGTGCAGGAGATGATCTGAGGGGTGAAGGTGCAAGAACTGGGGTGATCTGAGGGGTTAAGGTGCAGGAGATGATCTGAGGGGTGAAGGTGCAGGAAGTGGGGTGATCTGAGGGGTGAGGGTGCAGGAACTGGGGTGAGCTGAGGGGTGAAGGTGCAGGAGATGATCTGAGGGGTGAAGGTGCAGGAACTGGGGTGAGCTGAGGTGTGAAGGTGCAGGAGATGATCTGAGGGTTGAAGGTGCAGGTAATTGAGGTGATCTGAGGGGTGAAGGTGCAGGAGATGATCTGAGGTGTGCAGGAGATGATCTGAGGGGTGAAGGTGAAGGAATTGGGGTGAGCTGAGGGATGAAGGTGCAGGAGATGATCTGAGGGGTGAAGGTGCAGGAACTGGGGGGAGCTGAGGGGCGAAGGTGCAGGAGATGATCTGAGTGGTGAAGGTGCAGGAATTAAGGTGCTCTGAGGGGTGAAGGCGCAGGAGATGATATGAGGTGTGAAGGGGCAGGAGATGATCTGAGGTGTGAAGGTGCAGGAATTGGGGTCATCTGAGGGGTGAAGGTGCAGGAATTTGGGTCATCTGAGGGGTGAAGGTGTTGATGGAGATGATCTGAGTCTATGGCACGCTATCGTTTACTGTCCCTCCAGTTGTCCAATCCTTGTAAATTGACACGTAACGTAGAAGAGGTTGCAGGCTTGGGATCTCACCTCTGTCCATGGCTCTGGCCATTGTAGTCCCAGGATAGAAGGTCTTTATGGACAATACTACACACCATCATTGTAGAAGTGATGTTCTCTGGCTTCTCCCACTCCAGTCCAGTTTAGTTTCTGAGGGTCCCTGGACCTCTTCTGCTCTTGGTGACCTTAATCAGAATTCCCACAATATGTGCGGATGTTCCCAGCCAATAACGGAAGCCAGGTCCATTCTTTGGATATATCGGCCATTCTGGCCATGTGACCTGCTCACAATCACATGATCACTCCTGAGTCAGTGAGCCCAGAGTTGCTCATGGGATCTCCTTTACTGAGGGGGTCTCAGGCTGATCCCTCATCCGGTGTCGGAGTCGATCGATGTAACTATGACCACCATGTTTATGTAAGTCACATTATAATCGAATTGTGGGCATTTTTCAGGTAAACTGAAGACTGCGGCTGACGGTCGAATTCAAGGTGCGTAAAATACACCGAATACCTGTGTCCTATGTCACAAGTCACTTCTAAATTGTATGTAACGCCCAAACCTTTTTTCCAGAATTTTGAATAAAGTAGGGGAGGGGTTAATGCAACTGTCCTTTTTTGTCTCATTAAGGAAGTTTCTCCTTACTTCCTGTTTCAGAGTCACATCAGGAACTCTCCAAATCAATCAAAATCCCTTCTTCACCTCCTGCTGATGGCTCATGGACAGCTCTTTGGTCTTTGCCATGGTGGAGAGTTTGGTAGCCCAGTCCAGCCTTGTGTAGGTCTACAATCTTGTCCCTGATATGCTACAATCTTGTCCCTGATATGCTTGGACAGCTCTTTGGTCTTTGCCATGGTGGAGAGTTTGGAATGTGATTGTTTGATTGCTCCTGTGGACAGGTGTCTTTTATACAGGTAACAAAATGAGATTAGCAGCACTCCCTTTAAGAGACTGCTTCTAATCTCAGCTTGTTACCTGTATGAAAGACACCTGGTAGCCAGAAATCCTGCTGAATAATAGGGGATCAAATCCTCATTTCCCTCATGAACATGCAG